TGGGAATACAAAATTGTAAGTCAACACATAGGTCACAGCCTATGACCCAGAAATCCATACGGAGCCCTGTGGGGGGATGAGTGTTGTGACATCTGCATGCAGAAGCACAGAGGAAGGAGGGCTATAGAATCAATACTTCAAAGTGACTTGGGAGGCTCCTAAGTAGAAGAATTGTAAGCAAGGGATATGACCAGATTTGTACTTCTGAGATGCCCCTCTGGTGTCTGCATGGACTTGGGGATGGACAGGTGAGACCAAGAGAGTGACTGGTCCCTGAACCAGCACCATCGCATGCTATTATAATCCCTTTAGCTAATAATCAGATTCAGGTGGTAGAGCACCGTGAAATATCTGGCACTGCAACTTCTTGAGAAAAGACCACACTGCAATACAGACATCCTAACCACTATATCCGCAGAATGCTCTCAGACTGTCCCTTATAGATTTTCAAAACTAGCACTGAGAATACACTGTCAATAAATATATAACACATTTATTGAATTTCTGCCTTCTGTAGGTTGTATTAGCTCTAGGAAGAAGACAAGAACACACATTTGCAAAAGATAACATACTACCTCAGCAACCTTGCACGATGACAAAGAATTACAATAGCATGTGCTGTGATAATCAGTTTACTTCTAGAACACCATAATGTTAATATAGTGATATACTTTGCTTGTGCTTAGATTTTTCAGCAGAAATATATGCATATATGAATCAACCCAGTGTGTTGTGTTTAAAAAAATGAGTGCTTTGGGGGATCAGCAGATGGCGTGGCGGTTATGTAACCAGACTCCCAAATACCCGACTGTGGTTCGAATTCTGGACCCAATGGCTAGAAACTCATGCTGGGTGTATGTGCGTGTGTGCCCAAGATCCCAGAAGAAGAAAGGAGAAGGGACTGTGGCATGCCTATCCCCCTGGGGAGTGATTTTTCACTTTCCCTCTCACTGTCTGTCTCTCTCTCCTTAAGGCAAAAAGCTCTAAAAATTTTACTGCTTTAAACCAGATAACACATAATTAAACTGTACATAGGTGGCTCCACAAAATGAGCAAAGTAAAATTAATATGAATAAAATATACATCAGATATTCACTCATTTGCTTGAAAATATTAGGGAAAAGATATATTTTTGAAGCCACCTAAAGATTTATATATCATATGTATATATCATATATGTATTTACATAAAGGCAGTTTACATATCAAAATAAACCCCCTGCATTTCAGCAATACAAAATTGATAAACTTGAGAACTTAAGGGAAAGAAAAGAATGAGCTAGTCTACTATATAGGTGAGCAGGTTGGTTTCAAGATTTTAAAATACAACGTGGGAAGGCCACTGAACTCACTGGGTTTCAGAATGTGTATGGGGACAGGCATCCCCAGTGTGGCAACTGAGCTGGATAATTCTAGCTTTATTGGAAATGCTGCAGAGAGACAGAGAATCTTGTCTCTGCACTCTTCTCTCTGCAAATATTTGTGAATCTCTTGATGCACCTATTCCATGATGGTCAACCAAGGCGTATCATCTGTCAAAACCTCAAGGAAATCTTACTATCCTGACTGTTTCAACATTTTTAAAAACTGCTACAAATTGTTTGAGTTTCCCTAAATCAAAACAGCCTCCTGCATACGAAGATCTTATCCAAAGAAATCTCTAAGCTTTAATAAAGTTATATATTTTAATATATCAAAGACAAGGATTCATTTTTATATCCTTACATAGATGGGGAAACAATTTTTAACAGAGGAAGATGTGATGTCTAATAAAAGAGGATTCTAATAGATTAAAAACTACAAGGTATTTAAAAATTAACCATTTTCCTTGTAACACAGAAATCTTTTTATGTTCTCTGAAATCTAAATTATACATTCTGCTTTAGCAAAATCTAATAATTTCTGGCTCTGATAGCAAAAATGAAAACTTGGCGTAATTATAAAGGACAAAATACAATGGAGTTCTTTTAATAAAAAACATGCTTTTTTTCTATTTTATGAAGAACAAAACTTGACCATTCATGTGAAATAACCCTATGTGATACTGTTGTTACCTTTTTTAATTGCTAAAAGGTGCATGCTTTTGCCAGGACAGAGAGAGAGAGAGGAAGGGAGTACCTTCCAATGAGTTATGGTCATACAGCAATCCCTATTCCACTTCTCCAACTTATCAGGATTTGGGGCATACATGCACATTCACCTAGTGTTTTTTCAAGCCACCCAGGTGGAGATTTGAACTACAGTGGCCATAAGAGATCCAGGTCCCTTAACTACTGTGCTATGGGGCCAATTCATATACTTTTTAAATTATGAGGAATAATTGGATAGACTTAAAAAGACTGATGTGCCTACCAATCAGCTAAACAAACGTGCAAAATAACATAGCAGAAAACTTCTATGCCAGTCATATAGATGCTTATTACATTGCTAAAAATGTCACCTATATGCCAAAAATATCTAGCATGAAACTAGAGAAAGTACAATTAAGAGAGAAGGATTTAGGTCCAGCCATTATAGCATAGCAATAATGCTAGCTCAGTGCAGTGCTGGAAGCCACATGGCCAACTTCAGCTCAGATCCCTGGTCAGCTTGAAAACAGACAGGTATGTACACGGGTGCCCAAGACAGGGTCCTGTGGAGTTGAGGATAAAGGACAAGGAATCACAGTGTGAGAAGACCCTATTGAGGGTCTATTTCCCTTTCTCTATTTCCCTATTTCTCTCTCCCTCTCCCACCCTACCATCTTTCCCTCTCTGTCTCTCTCATGTGTATGTGTATAATGAGAACTACCTTTTCAAACCTAGCCTAAGAATGCAGTGGGTTTTCTAAATATAAGTAGGTTTAGAGATTTTTATTTGCATGAGATAATCAAGGAATTGTGATAAAAAATAAAACCAAAATTCAGTATTTTCTTACCTTCAAGTTTCAAAAGCCTTTTCTATGTTGTAGTATCTATGAAATGTTTCCAACTTATTCCTTTTAATATTCAATTTTAACAACTTGCTGATCCCAATGGACTCTCCAATTCAACTTTGTTTACCTGTCCTTCACACTCTTGGGATCTCTCCTCTTCTTACCCTGCTTAAACTTCATACCCAAGAGTATCAGTATTCACTTGTATATTTCAACTCACTTTTCCCTTGCTTGCTTCACTATCATGACAAAATCATAGCTCTGGTTAATTGTAACCCTTCATCTATTTCCACATGACTCATCTCGTTTTATGACCATGTCTGCAAGGAGAACCTAGTATCATCTGGCAGCCATACTGCTGAAGACCATTTCACATCTTCCCAAACTTTAAATACCACTTCCTCCATTCCTACTCAAGCTGGAGACTTTGCTTCTCATGTGATCTTAAAAACCATCTGCAGTCCAGAGATACATCACATTATACTTCCAGTTCTATGTCTCTTCTCTACTTCAGACGAGTATATACAAATGCTTATATGATATTTACCCTTCAAGGGTAATATATGAGTTTAAAAAGTATCCCAAGAAAAAGCAAGGTAATTTAGGAAGGGGTAAAAAAAAGATATAAAAAGAAATACCTTCTTACCTCTGCTATGTACCAATCTCAGCACTAAGCTAAGAGCTATTGTTTAATATTCATAATATGATCTAAAGTCAATGGCTGGATCCTGCTACCATTAAAACCATAATAATTCTACAGTATATGTGCAACAGAACACAGAAACCTCTGTTAATTGTAACTCCTACTCAAAATTTATTCCAAAGAAGGCGTATAATTTTGATGATCTTTTTCCACAGGAACAATACCAAGAAACAAGACTACATAAACCCAGATCAATGTGGACCATTTTTACAAATTTAACACACTGTATTTCTTTGTGAATGTCTAATGTTGGCCCTTTTATTGCCTTTAAAATGGTCTCAATATTGGTGTCTAAAAGATTAATGTCAGTAAAATCACATCTATGAAGGATTAGAAAAAAATAACCTCTCTAATCCCTATCATATAAATGATGGTTACATTAATATCATTCTTTACTTTTGGCTCTGAACCATCTAATAGCTTTATTGCAATACAATAATAAAAACTGTTAAGGGAAATGAGGAAATAGCACGGGGATTATTGCTCTTAGTATTTAATAGTGTATTGGAGTCTTGATGCTTGTTTGCATTTGCTTGGAATAAGTATCTGAGGGAAAATTAAGTTCTAAGCCGAATCTACTATTTGCAATCCCAGAAAGGGCTCCTGGGAATAGTTTGGCATTTTTGGTGACAATAGATTTTCTGATGAAGTACACCATTCCCTAATGAAAAAAACCTGGCACTGCTTCATATGATAAAATTTGACCAATGTGAGGAGCGTGATGATCAGTTTGGGAATGAGTATTTTAATAAAAGAAACATGAAATTGACTGTGCTTTGGCAAGACATACCCCAAACCATCCTGAGAGCTGTTGTCCTGGCCCACAGATGCTCCCCACCATGCTACAACTGTGCAAGTTCCCAGTGACATCACTGACAAAGCTGGCACAGAGACAAAGCCATAATCCAAAAACAGGCATGTTGGATTCTGTTTTGTTGGAGTCAGATAAAAAACAAATCAACTTCCTGGCTTCTCCCAACCCTCCTACCCTCCAAAAAAAAAAAAAAACAAAAAAAGAAAAAAACCTAATGTGGAATAGATCTGAGGCTCAGGTACTCAACACATACAGTTCTAGTCAAGTAGACAACAGAGATAGGAAGACAGCAATGATAGAAGGGAAAAGGCACATTTCTAAATACAATGATGCAGTCAAATGTGATCAACATGAAAGGAAAGAAGCAATGTAGAAAATGGACTTGGAATTATTCAGATTGGGATCGTCTAATGCTTTCACTGGAAAAATGAGTCATAGTTCACGGTGGGGGAGGGAGAGATGACATCTGCTTTTAACTCCATTTTATAAAAAGATGCCAATGCAATAGATTTTACAGTATTGACAATATTGAAGCTTATATATTCATTAATAAAAATATAGTTTGCAGTACCCGCATAAAGGCTTGATGTGTTCTACAGTTAGCTCTTCCACTTGATACTTGGATGCTTCCTGTAATCACGTCAAACGTCCCATTAGAAGAAAAGTAAAATCTTGATGGAGACTCGGGCTTCCTGTTCACATCCAAACTCATGTTATAAAACAAAACTGCAAAAACATAGAAAGAATTAAAAATCGATATAATTATTTAAACACATTTATTGATTTTTGAAGTGATAAAGCTATATAGAAATATCTTTTTTTAAAAAATTGCCAGAGGGTACACAAGCTTGCTGAAGAGGGACACAGAGACAGAGACAAATTGAGAAAGCACCCTCATGAGGAATATTCGCACAGCACTCCCTCCTTTGGGACTTTTGGGCAGGCATAAACATGTGTCCAGTGTGTTTCTCAAGTTGCCGAGACTAGGACTCCAACTACATTTTTAGACTTGTGAGTTCCAGCCACTTTAACCACCACACCATGGGCTTGTCTTGGACATATCTAAAATTCTCTTCATTAAATGGATTTTTACAAATGGTGTGATGGTTACCTCCCTGGACTCCCATATAATCGACCATGGTTCAAGTCTTGGACCTGACAGTTTAAAACGCACAACTGATGCGTGTGTGTGCATGCCTAAGATCCTGAGAGGAGAATAGAGGAGAAGGGACTGTAGTGTGGCCATCCCCCTCGGCTAGGAGGTGATTTCCTACTTTCTGTCTCTCTGTCTCTGTCTCTCTGGTAAGCACATGCACCCTATAGCAAAAAAATCTCTAAAAAAAATAAATCTGAAATGTAAAAGAGGGAACAATTGGAAGTATAAATTTCAAAAAGTATTATTATTTAGTACAGGGTCTCCCTGTCTTGCAACCCCTTTGCCTCGGCCTCCTAGCTGGGACTACAGGCCAGCACTATCATCCCTGATTTTTATAAACAAGGTCACGCTATGTTGGCTGGACCGACATTGATCTCGCAATCCTTCTACCTCAGTCTTCCTGACGTGGAGCGACCATGCCCAGGCTGTAGGTTGTACGGGCACTCTACTGGGCCTTCCATGAGTTCTCAGCCTGTGGAGTAAGTCTTAGCGCTCGCCACCACAGATGGGCCTCAAAAATATTTTTCATAAATAAAACATTTTATAAACTTTTCTCTAGTTTTATATTGCTAACAATATTAACACCTATATTTATTTAATCCTCCTACATATAAAAGTCTCAAAACCACATACAATATAAAATTGGTACTAATAAAATCTTAAAGTTTCAGATTTCTTTGAAAGTCCTCTTACTTAAGTAAGTTTAGGAAAAGTTCAGTACCCATCATCACTTGAAATAATTCTATCTTGTCTGATGACATGACTAATTTCATATGTTGCTAGGTTCATGTATTTCTGTTTCTGAGTCGAAGGCTATCTATATTTCTTTCTGTATTTACTTTACATATAAACACACGGTTCAAAAGTAAAAACTATACGTAGTTTATTAAAAGTGTCTTCTTTGTAGTCTTATGCTCCATCTTCATCCACCCTCTGTTTTTATTGGATTCTAGCTGACATGCCAGTGTTAATTTGTGTAAAAAATAATAGTTGCTCAGAAAATATTCTAGCAGATTGGCAGATTTTATTTCAGATCTAACATAGTATATCTTCATGTCCTAAAGAATATCTTTGAATAAGAAAAAGAAAAAAATTAAAGGCAACCAAGAAAATTCTAGATCTTACCAGGAAAGAGCCCCCTGAATTTGAATGAGTTCTTTGCAAAGCCTGCTAAATCTAATAGTTTGTTAAGATGTCAGTCACTATATAGGAGCAAGAATTTATAAATGACATTTTTCTTAGTTTTGCAATATTGCATGTACACTCACTAGAAAGAGACAAAGGGAGAGAGAGAGAAAGAGGAACAGTGAGAAATGACCCTCCGGGGGGGATGATCACACTGCATCCCTCCTCTTCTACTCTCCTCTAGGAATCATGGGCATGTAAGCACACATGCCTGGTGTGTTTCTCAAGCTACTGGGTCAAGAACTCAGATCGTGTGATTGGCCATGTGGAATCCAGCTGCTCTAACCACCATACAACCTGGCTGGCCAATGTAAGTGTTATTTCTTTTTTATTACCAGAGATGACATATACTTGACAGGGAGAGGAGAAGGAGAAAGCCCCACCAGAGTGGCATAGTTATGCCACAATCCCTTCACATCCATTTCTTAATCGTGTTAGGATTTGGGACATGTATGCACATATGCCTAGCATATTATATTTTTAGCTGCAGGAGCTGGGATTTGAATGCAAGTTTGGCCATGTGGTATCTAGCTATTAAGCCATGGGACTAGCCTGGGATCTGGCTTTCTATGCACAACACTTATGCACTGTGATACAGTTCCGACCCTAGATGTGACATTTTAAAGAATTTATGTAATTTCTGAAGCATGCATTCACATTTTAGGAATAACTTACTCTTCCAGAAGGACTTTACCTACTCATTTCAAGGGAACATAAGCATAAAGCCTATATTACCCTTATGAGTTTCAAATAAATCTTTCAACCATCCTTTTATTTAGAAAATAAATAATAAAGTCCAATTCAATTGACTCAAAAATTACAATAACTGAGATTCAATACCTCAGAGAGAGTGAGCTAGTGAGCTGCAATTGAAATAGCCATCTATAATACAAATTCATCATCCTGAGTTTTGACAAAAAGTAAATAAGAAGAGGATGAATAAAAATCCACTCACAGTAAGAGGCAAAGATGTCCTGGCTTTATTAGACATGCTTACCATGTGAATTATTTCTCCCAAGGAATCATTTTATGACAATTATAAAGCATGTTTCTGTAACAATGCTGTGGTTATTTATGAGTTTCATATATTTGTTTCCAACCATTTTCAAAAAATATCTGGTCACAATGGAATTGGTAGTATGGGAAACACTGTTTACATAAATGGAAACAGCCTTGTCTATTCAATGTGTATTTTCAGATAATCCATCAGCTTGTCTGTGTTAATGTGCAATTCACTCTGAGGCTTTGCCTACTTTCTTATCACTATACCTCTGGCCAGGACATTTCCAGGCACTATTAAAATAGGCTGATTCAAGCACAGGTATCAGGGACATTCTGTCCATTTCATTATAAGCAAATTCAGACTAGCACCTCCATTACATGGCCATAGGTTGGTTGACTAAGTATTTGCTGCTCTTCATCAGCTTAGATGGCAGTAACCTAAGTGATGAGTAAATCAACCCTTGATAGGTCATGTAGGGATTGTGAACTTTGCTAATGTACAAATGAGAAATCCACATGTGCTTCTCTCCTACCACGAGGTTATTTTTACTAGTAGTTAGTCTCTAGTATTAGCTTAAATAGATAATAACATTAATGTGCTAACCAAAATGTAATATGAACAAAGTCATGTGCATGTGACTTGGGAGTAACTACAATTTTGACTTTTCTTTTTTCTTTTCTTTTCTTTTTTTTTTTTTTGGAGAGGTTTTTGCTGTAGGGAACGTGCACTTGGCAGAAAGACAGGGAAAGACATGAAGCGAGAAATCACCCCCCAGGGGCAACGGTCATATCGCAATCCCTTCTCCTCCATTCTCCTCTCAGGATCTTGGGCATGCACGCAAACGTGCCTGGCGTGAGTTTAAACCACTGGGTCCGGGATTCGAACCGCGGTCAACTACATGGGAGTCCAGTGATATAGCCATTACACTAACTGCCGGTCCAGAATTTTGAAAGAACCATATCAACAGCACTGCTTTCTCCAGAGTAGATCATTGAGAGCTGCCTATATATTATGGGGAAATGGCACAGTTCTCAGAAGCTAACCTTAAGTTATTAAGGATGTATATTGCTTATAGAAATTAGAGTAGGATCTAAATTCCAGATAAACTTCTTGAATTATTTAAACAGGGTAGGGTATGAAGAAAAGAATCTTCTCCTTCTCAAATCTCAAGGAGCTCACTAAGATAGAGGTGCTGTGGTAATATTCTTTCCGTTCTTAAGAGATTTCACAAATTAAGCTCAGTTTACCTTATACTAACTTAGCAAGGGATCACTTTGCTTTGCTTCTTGCCATAACCTCTAAAGAACTATAGCCTTCTAATGTGCCCTATTCATTAGTTAGAAAATCTTAAGAATCCAGAAGACAAGGAAGAAAGGTATATCAGGTGGCTACTCTCTCTTGCTCTAAAGGAGACTTCTAAGGTGAAAAAAACAATGAGAGTGATTGCTGCTTAGCCATCCCCCCAGGGGAGTGATTTCTCACTTTCTGTCTCTCTGCCTGTCTGGAGAGTGCAAGCGCCCTATATCAAAAATCTCTCCAAAAAAAAAACAAAGAAAAACTATGAGAGCTCAAAAGTGATTATGAGATTAATGAATGAACTGCAGGCATTAACTCTACAGAGTTCACTTACCAATATAACCTGGAACCTCTTTGCCCTTATATGAGAAACAAAGCGTTAAGTCCATGCACACAGAAGGCAGTCCATTTTCGATACAGTCCAATTTTGTTCTATTTACGGACTCAGGATGGCTTAAAGAAGCTTCAACAATCACTACAGGTCTTGTCCTAAGAAAGAAATAAAATTAACAATATTAATCACAGGATTACTTTTCCTTAAGAAGACAGTGGCCTTTGTTTTGTCAGTTTTTATTGATGAAGTAATTCCACGAGGTGGCTTCATTAATAGTATAGCATCTATACTCAGTTACATTTCTGTGCATGGATCAAGAGAAATTTTCACTCACATGTCTAAAAAGATGAACTTTATCTGATGATTTTAAAATTATATCTATGTAAGATGGGAAAAAATACCTTAAGGTTAAATAATTAAATTTTAGAATATCAAAAAGAATATTATAAAGCCACTACCACTGCTGATTTTAAAGACTGCATCTCATCGTTTCCAGTTAAACCCAATTGCCATTATGCAGTAAAATGTATCAACCTTACCTTAACAACACAGCAGAATCAGACCGAAAAGCACCAACTGCTACATCTAAAAGATAAAAACACAACACAGATTAATGATCATCATCAGTGAAAGAAAATTACTGTTTAGCCATAGATATTTAACTACATATCACCTTCTGATTATTTCAAAATACCATTAAAACAAATTAACTGGAAAAAAATGCTATCATTTTAAGATTCATTCTACATTTGTCTGAATTAGTCATTTACAATAACTTTGATCCCTTTATAACCAACTCCTGATATAAACTTATTCTATAAAGACAGACTTACTAAAGCAGACTCATTTTTGTACTAGAAACATCTATACCGAAATTTCCTTTCCAAATAAAAATATCCCTTTCATCATTCATCTGTTTGATTTTCACGGGTGCTTATCATTTTTCAAGAATAAGAAATATTACATTAAGTAACTGATAGTACAACACTGAGGAATTACTTAATCATTTCTAAACCATCTTTGAACTCAAAACAAACATAAAAGCAAAAAAAAAAAAATCAGTAAATTGAAGTCTACCATACCAGTCTTACTGCTTCACCATAAAGCAGCATCTATAACAGAACTTATTCCAATTTATGAACTATGATAAATTTTATACTCACCTACGTATCCATTATTATCTGCATCAATTTGTCCCGATATAGATTGTCCAAACATACTTAATGATTTACTGACTTGAAGTCCTTCAATTCTCTGAAAAATAGTTAAGTCGAATGGAAAACTGTTTTTGATCACCTAATATTTCAAAGAAGCAAAAATTTTGCTAAATGATGATTCTTCCTGTGTCTGTCTTGGCGCATTCACTAACCAATGTACTTTAGTTAAGTCAAACGCTTCTGAGAGAGGCAAGATTTTTTTCAGGCTGAAATGGACATGACATCTCTTTCTTTACTTTTGTACTTTGTGAGCAAAAAGGAAATGAAGTAGTGTAGATTTTCAAAACCAGTTCTGACTCCCTCTCCTCGAGCCATTTTTTAAGGCTCTGTATTTGCTTCCTTGACCAACGTGCATGCTAATAGTGATGAAAACAGGATGTGTGCAATCACTTAGTGGAGCCTATTATCCTGGTTTATGATGAAAGCCAACTTACTTAGCAAGATTGCTTCTGAGCATTTAACGAGAACGTCTCAGGTCAGATCTGTGCTTCCTCTCCCATGTCTCTTACTCGTGTCCAGATCCTCATTTATAAATATGAGGCTGCTATCCATACTAAGAAAAAATAGTATTGCTTACTCTGCTTGTCCATATCCTTTATATCAAATAGAGAACCAACTAGGCCATTTTTGCCTGATCAAAAATAACAGTAATAGCTAAGGTTTCTATAAAAAAAATCTTTGGAAAAATTTTTCATTTCTGCATATGAATATAGTTTTTTCTATCACTGAAATATTCTTATATTTCAGGATATAAAAGTCAAGCATTAGGTCATGAAGTGCTGTTATCTTACCACTCGACACTGAAAGAAAGAGAGTATCATATGTATGTATGATCTCTCTGTGCAGCCTTCATGAAATATGGAGCTGTAGCCTAAAGGCAGGAAACAGTCAAATGCAAGCAGGATTATTTGCAATTGTAAGGATATTATCTCAGAATGTGTATTTGATGAACTACAGAGAGAAATCTTTAATCGACTAAAGACAAGCTGGATGGAAATAAACTATAACTCTTTTTTTTTTAAAGGAAGGTTTATAGAGTTAGTTTAAAATGGCTTAAAATGGCTTAAATAAATGCCTAGCCTCCTTTCTTTAAAATAAAACTGTTGGGAACCAGCAGTTAGCATAATGGCTATGTCGCTGAACTCCCATGTAGTCGACCGTGGTTCGCATCCCGGACCTGGTGACTTAAAACTCACGCTGGGAGCGTGTGCGTGTGTGCCCAAAATCCCAAGAGGAGAATGGATGAGAAGGGATTGCGGTGTGACCATCCCCCCTGGGGGAATGATTTCTCGCTTTCTGTCTCTATGTCTCTCTCTGTCTGCCTGGCGAGCGCACGCGCCCTATAGCAAAAATCTCTCCAAAAAAAAAAAAAAAAACTGTTTACCATTTTAGACAAAGTGGTGAAATAAAATGGTAAGTAGTTGAAAGAGCAAATTTAAAAAAATAAGTCCACATAAACACTGGACATTTTAAGAATGGTTTTATTAACAATATTTCTTTCATCTTTTATGTTTTCACCATAAGGCACATACACTCTCCAGAAAGAGACAGAGAGAGAGTGAGAAATTACTCTCCAGGGGAGAATGGCCAAGCCACAATCCATTCTCCTCCATTCTCTTCTTGGGATTTTGGGCATGCACGCACATGTGCCCAGTTTAATTTTCAAGGCCCTGGATCGAGGATTTGAATTGTGGTTGGCCATATGAGAATCCAGTGCCTTAACCACCACCTCCTTGCTGGTCCCAGTAGTGTTTCTTTTGAAAATAGAATAGTACCTCACCTGTGAGAAGGTAGATGAGATCCCATCACTTCGGCCATTATAAATATAAATGGCGCCTCTCAAATCATCTTCTTGTGGAGCTCCAATAGCAATGTCTATTAAGGTTTTAAATAAGAGAAAAAATAAATTATTGATACAAAGAATGCAACTTTGAAAACTAACTTTCATATCCTTAATTCATGTCATATAACAACAACAACAAATTCCCTTTTATTTTAATGTCCTTCTTCATTTCTTTTCTTTCTTTTTTTTTTTTTTTTTTTTGGAGAGGTTTTCGCTATAGGGCACGTGCACTTGCCAGACAGACAGAGAGAGACAGAGAGACAGAAAGCAAGAAATCACCCCCCAGGGGGGATGGTCACACCGCAATCCCTTCTCCTCCATTCTCCTCTCGGGATCTTGGGCACGCATGCACACGCGCCCGGTGTGAGTTTTAAGCCACCGGGTCCAGGACGCGAACCGCGGTCGACTATGTGGGAGTCCAGCGACATAGCCATTATGCTAACTGCTGGTTCCCATATTTTCTATAGGGTATGTACACGAGTCAGAGACAGAGTCAGAGAGCAACAGAGAGGGATGGAAGGAAACTGAGAAAACACCCCACCAAGGAGGGGTGGACATGCTATAATCCCTTCTCCTCCATTCTCCTCTCAGCATTTTGGGCACATGTGCACATGTGCCTTGCATGTTTTTTAAGCTGCCAGGTCTAGGACTCAAACCACGCAATCAGTCATGAGAGATCCAGTTTCCTTAACCTCCGCACCACCTGCTGTCTCAGAAACTTCCTTTTATAAAAATTAACACTCTTTAATTAAACAGAAAAAAATACTAACATCATCATAATGTACAGAACTGTACAGAATCATCTGTGCATGGAAGACAGCAGAGTGAACTGGTTGGAGAGGCACTCAACAGAAGGGTTAAAGATACAGGTGCCACAGCCAGACCACAGGGTCTAACCCACACTCAGTCCACCACTTGCAGCTAGGTTATGCTGGGTCTGTTTCTTAATCTCTCCATGTCTCAGTTCCCTTACCGATAGAACGGGATTATAATAAAACCTACCGTTGACATAGAATGAGGTTTTAATAACATCTACCACTAATGAAAAAATAAAACATACCTTATGTAAAGTGCTTAGAGCAGTACATGGCATGTAATAAATTATTATTATCTATGAATATCATAACCGTAAGAATGGTTATTCTGAGCTTCTGAGCTTTCACAAAACAACTTTTAAATTAATTTCCAATGAAAGTTACCATTGGAAAGTATCTGTTAGGGAACCTAAGAGCATGTGTGTGCACACACATAGGTTCAGAAAATGTATTTCTTCTGTAAAATAATGATTGCATCACCTTTATCACTTTAGTGAGATTTACATCACATTATGAAACCAAGAGAAAAAAAATGATCAACTGACATCCAAAAAAACAAAAAAGTAGAAACTATGACTAACATGATTGTTTAAGGAATATATAGCACAATGAAGAAGGAAAATAATATTCTACAGTTGCAAGAGTATTTCATTATTTTAAGTTTTATGTCTATTTATTTGGGTATATTTATATATTTTTTTATGTGCAATGTTTTTGCTTTAGGAAACCTAAGCTACAGAAAGTTTATTTTCATATTATTTATCACTGCCTATGAAATTGTAAGTATTTTAACAACTGTTGTGGTAAGTTTTGACTACTATTTCAACAGAACATAAACATATCATTGAAATACAACTCTGCTAAATGTTGTATGATTTATAAAAGGGAAAAGCTTTTCTATTTTCATCTAAAAAGAAATGAAACCTATACTTATTTTGTTTAGACATACTAAGGCTGGCCTCTTTCAACTCGAGCAAACTATTTAAGATATTCATATATCCATATAGAAACATATGCCTTTCTATAATTATTAATAATTATTTCTACATATTAAGGTAGTCACATTTATATAGAATTTTATGCATTTATTCATTCATGTATTGGACAACTACCGAGCATCTGCTGTATTCCATCAGCTTTTACATAAAGGCGATGACACAGACCAGTACTACAGACAGGAACTCATAGTTTCGTGCGGGAGGAACAAGTAAAAATAGAACAATAGCACAGCAATCAAAAAGGAAGTAGTGGAAATTAGGGAAGGATTCTCACAGAGGATGATAACCAAGATGAACATGATGTACTGACAGGTTATACCCACGTGAAAAAAAAAGGGGAAATGTAATTTAGACAGAAGAAAAGCAAAAGCAGGGGAGTGAGAGGTATTCTGGCATTCATGAACTGATTCAGAATAGCTAGAGCCAGATTTGGGTAGACTCCATATGCACAACAACTTAGGGAGAGATGTGAGAAGGAAGAGGAAGAGAAGCAGAAGAGAAGAAAAGAGAAAGGTGAAGGGAAAGGGTGAGGCTGAGTATCTCATAGGCACTGAGGAGAAAACCAGGTAGCAATTTATTTAATTAAGGCTAGATTTATACTTCTACCAGAGTGCTTAAATCTCTAATAACTGGAAGTCCTTGATTCTTGATAATAATCATGAAAAAAATAACAAGTTTGGTTCCAAAGTAGTTGATAAACAGAAATCATTGCAGGATCAGTTATTAGCACTAGTGATTCAAATTAAGCATGTATTCAATTTCTGCCATAGAGTGCAGACATTTGGTATATATTAAGCAAGGACATAAAGTTTGTCTTTCATAATCTGATTTATTTCATTTAGCATGATATCTTCTAGATAGAAAGCAACACAAAACTCCAGCCATCTTCTCATCTAGGAACCATTTTAAAAGCAGAAATAAAGAACCGAATTAAATACTTTTAATTACCTTCAAAGCCATCATTGTCAATGTCGCCAAGATTAACTATAGATTCTCCAAACCTTGCAGCATATTTGTCACTTCCAATGAGCTCTGTTTCCATTTCATTCATTACTGCTCCCTAGATAGAAAGGGAGAGAAAAGGTGTCATTATAACACTCTGACAACTTTACACATGATTTACTGTTGTAATTGGATATGGATTTTTCTAATGCGTCGAATAAGTTGGACAAACTACAGACTGAGCTTTAGTACACACATCTCAGTTCAATTCAATAAATATTTATTGAGAATGTCAACACATGTAGTAGTATGATTAGAGCTCAGAGGACATAAAAATTGTCAAACTTCATGATCCCTAGCTTTGAAAATTCAATAAATCATTTTGATAATTCAATTTAGCAAATATTTATTGAGCTCCTACTAAAGACAATGCACTGTGCAGAGTGAACAGGTGAAAGGGGACCAGGCAGTATGTGTATCCTTTTCTTCAAGAAGCCCACAGTTAGAGGGAGGACTTTGTGCAAGCATTTAAGTGACTTAGGAATACAAACTGCTTTGGAATAACTAAGCATCAAGGAAGAATACCTAATTGCAATAACCAGAAAACTTTTCATAGAGGCAAGCAAGGTGGCTCTTAAAGGGTAGGTGTAATTCTAATTACAGTACAAAAAATACTGCCACCAAAATACACGATCCAAAGAATTTGGTTATAATGAATGATACATATAATGAATAAGAGAGAAAATAAGATTATAGGTGTATTGTGTAGCATTATGGTTGTCAAGGGAAATTTACTCTTAATTTGGTGAATAGGAAGCCACTGAAAGTTCCTGTGAAGAGAGGTGACATGATTAAAACTAGCCTTTGAAACCTTGTCTCAGTAGCAGTGGAACATGGGTTGGTTAACTGATACCTCGAAAGTTTGAAGATGGGTTATTGCAGTAAGACATTCAATAATGTCGCAATAGTGAGCTGTTGCAATACTAGCTACCAGTTCTCTTTATGAACACTAATCATGTCTGCTCCTTGTATTTAAAACAAAAAGTCCACACACTGCTCCTCATAGATCCTTTCCTCTTCTCAAATATATTCTTCATCTCCTAAGCACTCCGGTGCTCTTCCACTTGTGAAGTGTCTTTCACCTTTCATTTTCCAACTGAAAAATGCCCTTTCTTCTCTCGCTCAAATACCACTGTCGCTGTAAAACTTTCTTGACCCAAAGTGAATTTCTTCTTCCAATCTGAATATACTTCTGTATCATTTACGGAGTTGTATTTAATTGTGTCCTCCTATGGTTGGTGTTTTCACTAGCTCTCAGCGCCTAACTGGGTCAAGATTAAAGTCATTCTCAGCTCTTTTTATAGGCTTTATTACATTTCAGATAATTGCTAACTATCATTTATTTTACTTTAAATGAACTAAGATGACTGGAAATCATTTCTATAGATATCATCACTGACATCAAGGTAGTGAATGATTACAGGAAAGGAATAAGGGATAAAACAGCTTTTCTCCTGGGGAAATGACCCATTTAAAGAGCAGACAATGATAATGTATATGGTAATACCTTTGCCTCAATTGATGTGTAATGCATTTATGCTGGAAAAAAATCCATTTTGGACATGGAAAGAAGTACATCTATTAGACATAAATTTTAAAAGTGCAAAAAAAAATTAAAACACCTTTACCTATAAAGGTAAATAAAGAGCAGAGATGAGAAGAGATTCCAGGGAAGATAGACAGGGCACAGATTCGAGACAGTGCAGTGGCACTGAAGTTCTGGGAGGAGAGATTCAAGAGGAAGTGGTGATCAGTCTTTTTAAAGAGTTCTCCAGTCACAGAGAGTGGTGACCAAGAGTTCTTTGGGGACCCCTGAGAGCTATTTTAGTAGAAGTCAATGGAAGGCAGTCATTCAAGTATCATTCTTCCCTGAGTTCCTACGAAACCAATTTTGGAGCACCTACTTGTCCAAAACTCTTCCAAGCCCCAAGGAAACACAAGTAAACAAGATAGATAATTCCTCTCTGCATGGCATTTATACTTCAGTAGAAGAACAAATATAGACCCCCACTTCGTAGTTTAATGCCATTTTGGAGAGAGAGAAAAAGGATGTTAGATAAAAACAAAGGAAGATTCATCTCTGTCAGTAGATTTAAAAGTTGAAATCGCTTATTACATTAATCCCAGTTTTCAAGAGTGTTGCCCCAGGGTTAGCGAGAGGGAAGAACAACAGGGTAGTCAAGGGGGTAGGACTTCTTTGCTCTTTAAGTAAAGGCATTCTGTTTTTATCTGTTTTTCATATTAGGATTAAGACTTCAATGGAAATGAAGTTCCTATATTGCTTTATTTGGGGTATATATGTAACTGTTTAAACTGTTCTCAAAAAAGTTTAGTTAGAAAGATAAGAGAACGAGGACATAGCAAGTATAGGGAAGATATTTTTGGATAGGGAAAAGTGAAATGTTTATAGACAAAAAGTATGATCTCACAATAATGAAATTCTAATTATCACTGAGTAGATGGTATTCCTTTACTATTAAATTTAGGTTTGAACATAGTCTAGGAAACCTCAATGTATAAAATCACTTTCCTGTTCTATATTTGGAACCTGGAGAATCTCCCAGCTTGATAAGATCAGTGTCTTATTTATTGAATTGTACAGAGTTTAGTCTGATGCTTTGCATAAGAACTTATTAAATGCTCTAAAACTTGATTAAACAAGACTACAAATATCCTATTGAAATAGATTTTACTTTCTTGAACTCTGGTTGGAAAATGTGCCATAAGAAATTAATGAGGTTGGAGAATGTGCTATAAGAAATTAACCAGTTTAGGGACCAGCAGATGGCATAATGGCTATGTTGCTGGACTCCCATGTAGTCGACTGTGGTTCAAGTCCCGGACCCGATGGCTTAAACTCACGCCGTGCGCATGTTCATGCATGCCCAAGATCCTGAGAAGAGAATGGAGGAGAAGGGATTGCAGCATGGCCATCCCCCTTGGGGGGTGATTTCTCACTTTCTGTCTCTGTCTCTCTTTCAAGTGTACGTGCCCTATAACAAAACAAACAAACAAACAAAAAAAGTCTCTAAAAAGAAACAAAGAAATTAGCCAGTTTTCTCAGTCTGGTATTTCAAATAAAAGAAAGAGGCCAAGAAGACTCCATGAAGACCCTATTAATTCTTTCAAGAAGTTAGGCTGGCAAGATAAAACGAGCAGAACTCTTGTTGAGTGAATCATCAAGTGGTCCATTTCTACTCCAAATTATCATACATCTTTTAAAAGAAACCCACAATCAGTAGTTGTCTATTTACACAACTGATATATCTACTTTGGAATAACTATGTTGATTTTATATTCTTATCAAAAGTATAACCTACATGAATTGTATAAATTAACATTTTTATCAAAACATATTGTTTCTAATTGTTTTCAAATCAAGCAATTAAAAGCACTTAATTTTTAATCTTCTATTTCTAGTCATATTTTATAACATATGGAATTAGAAAAAGATGTTAACTAAAGAATCACTAAAATCTACATTTTGAAGGCTGCATTAAAAAAAAAAATCATTGTTTCGGTGTCAGCCATTGGTGCTGGTTGAGGTGGCTGGATCCCACATGGCCAAACGTGCAGTTTGAGTTCAGACCCAGTGGCTTGAAAAAACATGCCAGGCATGTGTGCATGCATGCCCAAAATCCTAAGAGGAGAATGGAGAAGGAATGGGGGCACAAGCCATCCACTGGGGGCAATTTTTCACTTTCCCTCTCTCTTTTCTCTGCCTTTTTGTGGTGAGCACATGCAACTTCTAGAAAACAAAACAAAACAAACAAAAAAAGAAAATGAAAAAAACACATTGTTTCAAATTATATTTGTTTCAAAAAGAGAATTAAAAAGTTTTAATTATTAGAGAACACATCCAAGTTGCGAATAAAGAAATTTCATAACAGCTTATCTCATATTTTTGGAATATTAAAATGGGATGGTTGTCTATTCATCATCATGTCCCATTCATTTTTATAGCATGAGTACAATATTAAAAGTTTTACTTTATTTCCAGTGAAATAAGTGGAAGAATATATAGTTTCCAAACTCAGTAAAAAGAGTAGTTTCAGTTTTGATCATAATTACATAAGTAGTTTCCAGTTTGTGGGGAATTGGACATACCGAGCCAGAGTTGAGGTACACAAACACTCTTCCTTCCTCTCTGATGGTGCTTTGCATGGGAGCTCCCACAAGCAGATCTGAGAAGCCATCTGCATTGAGGTCCACAGCACAGACAGAAGCTCCAAAATAGGAGCCAAGCTGTTGCAAACCAAACCAGAACCGGTCATTGAGAAAAAAGCAGAGTCATTCACAAATCCCTCAGCTATACCCAAGGTAGAGACGTATTACCTTTTTACCTTTCATTTCATGTAAAATATTTAATTCTCTTGCATCAATACTGAATATATAAGCCTACAATTGGGAAAAGAATTAGAACAGGTTAGATTGCTATCAAGTTTTCTTATTAAGAAACAACTTATTTGTAGTTTGACCAACACAACAATTTTTATAACTGGAAGTTATTCAACTATATCTTAAAAAGAGTGACATAAAAGGGTGCAGCCAGGTGGCAGAGTCGATAGCAAACTGAATTGTAGTACTGGAAGCCATATGCCAACCACAGGTTTCGATCCTCAGGTCAGCTTGAAAACACACTGGGTTTATATACATGTGTTCAGGATCCTGAAAAGCTGGAGGGCCAGGGGAAGGAGACTGCCCCATGATGAGACCCTGTTGAGGGATTTCCCTACTGCTTCCCTCATGTGCACGCTCCTTATGATGAAAACAAAATGATGTTTGATATAAAGTGGATGAATATGAAAGACAATGCTAAGTGAAGCAAGTCAGAGTATGAAAGAGAGAGTTTCTATGTACCCACTCAATATATACCAAATGTCTGCTCTCCACAGCAGAAACCAAAAGTTTAGAAGGTATAGTAGTAGAGAGAGCGACTATAGATATTACAGATAGTAAGGATGGGGTAATATGGGGGTAGGTAATGGAAGGAAGGAGGGGAAGTTATGTGCTGATGATAATGTGTATGGTAATATCTGTCTTGACTGATATGCACTGCACTCAAGCTGGAGAAAGCAATGTTATACACTGTAAAGATATATAGTGATCAAATATAAATAAAAAAAATTTTTTATTAAATAAATAAATAAACTTAACCAAAAACAACCAAAAAACAAAAAACTTTTAAATGACACTTTCACCTTTATGTGCCTTATTTGGAAAATAATCTTTTTACAAATTATCTTACTATCATACAGAAAGGGCATGGATAGTGCTGATTGTCCCACTTTTCAAATGTAATGCCCAGAAAAAGTGAGTGTTCAGTTTTTATATAGAAATATATCAAAAACTATAACAAAATTAGAACCAAAAATAACATTTTTACTATTCTTACTGCAAAATGTAGCTACTTCAATGATCTTCAGCTATAAAACTGTTCATCAATGAATATATATGGCTATACTTACATAACTCCATTATATACTTATATAATCCCATTTTATAGACAATTTATTTATATATTAATTAATTTCATTTCCCTTGAGGTTTTTCTGCTAAATTTTTCCTAAAATTGCTGAGGGATTTGTGAATGACCCTGCTTTTTTCCTAAAACTTCTACTCTTTTACCAGTTTTACTAAACATATACTATTCATCTATGTTCATTATTTCTAATCTAATCTTTTATGCCTTCAATGTTTGCAGTTCCTCCTTTAATATTTTATCTCTTTTGCAATTTATCTGAAATTTTGTGAAATGAATAAATAAATAAGAAAGTGTAATCCTTACTTTACCAATCTGTTCATGTTGAGGGGCTCCTCCAACTACTTCAGTGGAATGGTGAGTACGAAAATGACCAGCTCCAACTGAGTATCCTTCAAGAAAAGGGAGAAAAATATGAAAATCATTATTTATACTGAGTAAACTATATTATAAATTACTCATTGAGTTAAATAAGACTGAAATCAAAATGACTACATTAAGCACGGTTTTAAAAACATTTAATACAGCAGTACTCAAAACTGATCATTTAAACATGTTTTAAGCAATTTTTAACATGTGTTATAAAACTGTAGTCATGTAGTTTATATTCTCAAGTTTTAGAAATTGAAAACGGCACCTTTATATTTGATTTATTAGTCCCTGTGTAGTATCAGTCATTGGATTCTAGAATTACAACAGAGTATATAAAATATAACATTTTAAACTGGAAATAAAAATCTTCCTAAACTTCAACTTTTGCCATGAAATCTACCTAGAATGATGACTTTATGATGACACAAAAGGTAAAATATTTTCACCTGACAACAGGCACAATATTAAGTTACATTTCTTTCTTTTTTGAAAGAAGATTTTGCCTTAGGCCATATTTGCTCTCCAGAGAGAGAGAGACAATGGCAGGGAAAGTACAAAAACACCCCCAAGGGGGAATGGCCACACCATAATTCTTTCTCCTTCATTCTCCCTCCAGGATTTCGGGCATGCATGCACCCATGCCTGGTATGATTTTCAAGTCACCACGTCTGGGTGGTGGTTGGCCATGTGGGAGTAGAGCAATGTAACTGCTAGACCATCTGTTGGCTACAAGTTACATTTCTTATATAATACTTTAAGACATCCTTTAATCATAAACAAAAAGATGTTGACTTGTAAATGAATTCTTTCCTTTTGAAAATGAATTCCTTCTTTTGGAATGGGAAAAATGCTGCTTGTTTTATAACAATTTTTGAGAATAAATGTTCATGTTTAAAGCATAAACATTTTAAATGAAGCTGTACTTTCTAAGAAACTATAAGAAAATCATTTATTTTACTGTAATAGAAAATGAATGCCAGGAAAATTTATATTTCTGTAGAAATATAGATGATAAATGTCCTGCTGCTGACTTACGAAATAATAATGAGGAGGAGGAAGATGATAATAATAAAAATTAAAATTAGTTAAGCTCTGGGAAATATTCTAAGAATTTATGAGGCAAAGGTCAATGAGCTATTTTTAGAGTCATATGTTTCACATGGTACCCCTGGTCTAGAATGCTGTCAACAGTCCCATTCATTTTCAATAGTTATTTTTTAAAATTGCTTCTTACTTAGTAAATGCATGTTTAAAGGAATTCATTCATGCGAAGTTCTTAGAAAAAGTTCCTAGGTTATGGTAAGGATGCACTAGAGGCCACCTCTGTAAATTAACTACTGAAAGTCGCAATGGTAAGTGTTTTTTTTGCAATGAACTATGAGGAATAAACTAAACTAGGAGGTCTAGTCTAAGAATTACAGATTGATGATCATTACCACATATTCAAATGTAAGCTACTAACTAATTAAAGTTTTATAGATTCCATTCTAAAAGACAATTTCTGATCTGTCTGTAATTGCCTAGTGGACACCTTGGATTTTTGGAAATATAATTTCCTTACTTATAATAACTAGTATCAATTTTTACAGTACCTAAATAACTTCCAAATTTTACTTGATTGTGTCTATCCAAAAAGGCCTTATATTTATTTGTAGTTATATTGTAGACAAACACAGAGCCAGTCCAATACGATGATCCTGGAGCGCCCATCACAATTAAATCCTGTGAGGAAAAAACAATGTATCAACATTTAAAAGTTAAATTTCATCACACAAAACCTCCTCCAGATATGTAGCATTCTAAGTAAATAGTGAAGAGAATATATTTTTATAGTACATTTCTGAAATAGTACTTAATACTTACGAATTAAGAAAAAATTATATCAGAGAGAAGTCCTGAAAAACTGGCTAATGACTTTCCTCCCCAAAGTATTGGGCTGTCAGAAAAGCCATGGTGCTCTAGCTTAGGCTTTTGAAATCTTTAGTGTGCTATCTGTTCCATCATCAAAAAGAAAAGAAAAAAAAAAAAAAGAAAAAAAGAAAAAAAAAAGTCATAATGCATTTTCCTATGGCATTTTATGCAAAATGCGTCATGACTTTTCTGACGACCCAACGGAACTTCAGAGAAGAGACTCTGAAGCTCTCACTTTATACTTCTCAGTGGATTTTAAACATTGCAGGTAGACTCACTGAATACTACAGTAAGCTTTTGGAAGAGAGGCAATATGGTGTCTATTACAGAAAGTCGTATGCGAATCGTTCATTTGTGCTCTTACAGAGATAGTCATGTGTTGCCAAAGAGTAAACAAAAAAAAAAGAAAAGAATTTATTTCAGTATGTAAAACACAGCTAATTAGTTTTCCTCATAATATTACCTTACGAAAAAAATTTCCAATAGAAAATGCAAATGCTTTATTATAAATAAGAATTTCAGAAATGGAAACAGGAAGGTTGAAATTAGCAGATGCAGTATGAAAACTTTCAGCAAACCAAACCTGTAAACAAACATCTGTACTCCCTAAATGACCAGAACTTTAAATATATTTAAAAATGACTATAAATTCTTTTCATATAGTAGTTAATATTTATAGAATGTATTAACTCAAAACTTGGTACAGCTTAATCTCCATGGAGATAGAAAACATTCATAAATTCATAATGGGGTTTTAAAGAGAAACTGGGAAAACGGGTTCAGTATAACTGCGACCTTTCATAGTGTATCCTGGAGTTTTAGAAAGAGAGTAAGATAGTTTATCTGAGTTGATAAGACAGTTTCTCTTAAGTAGATATCTGACTTAAGAGGATACTATTAAGTTCTTAACTCCTCTAGTTATTACAATTATAATAAAAAAAAGTATACTCACTTGCCTCTTTCCTCCTTCAACTTGTAATTAGAAGTAACATTATTGAATAGATATTTTTAATGCCTAAGTTAATAAATCAAATAACTGTAGCTATTAGGGCATCAGGGAAGTCATGACGGTATTTTTTCTATGCAAAAATGCATCATGACTTTCCCAACCACCCAATACTTTTTACAGCCATTAAATTCCTGATGAAAGTAATATTCTTCAGCATAGATTTTAGTTGGTCTTGTATGGTGAAGCTAATAATATCTATCTGATAATGCTTTCTCAAAATATATGTGAAATACTTAGTGGTGAAAATTAAGTTGCAATATTTGTAAATTTAAGAGACATTATGCAGATGTTTTACCATTTTTCCTTGACATTATCACAGCAAACCTTTGGAAGACTTAAAGTGGTATATGTAAACATTCAAAGCAGCTATTTTTTGAGCTATTACCTCTGTGTAAAAACTAGATATTCCAGCTTGACATGATGCAAAATTGTCTCCAAATTTTTTCACATAATCTAAAATAAAATATAAAAACAATTCAGGATTTCATTTTTAAATAAAAATATAATTACTTTTTTTTTGTAAATCCTTACACAAATGTCTTTTAAGATCTGTATTTTGGGGGTCAGGAGGTGATGCGGTGGTTAAGGGGTTGAACTCTCACATGACCAACCACAGTTCAAGGACCCAGCAGCTTGAAAATCATGCCAGAGAACTTTACATGGAAAACTATGAAAAGCTAAAAAGAGACACAAAAAATGAAACGTGGGCTGAAAGACAGCCCATGTTACTGGGTTGAAAGAAATAATATAATCAAAATGTCAATTCTACCCAAATTAATCTACAGATTTAATGCAATCACAATCAAATTACCAAAGATATTCTTCACAGATTGAGAAAAAACAGTCATAGAATTTGGAATCAAAAAAGACCAAGTATTGCCAAAGTAATTCTGTGGAAGAAGAGTGGAATATGAGGCATCTCACTACCTGACTCCAAAACATACCACAAAACTGTGATAATAAAACCAGCATGGTATCAGCACAAAAACAGGCATGTGGACCAATGTAACAGAATACAGATCCCTGAAATAAGCTCCAAAACATACAGCCAATTGATTTTTGATAAAGGACACCAGTCAATCCAGTGAGGAAAAGAAAAATCACTTTAGCAAATGGTGCTGGAAAAACAGAGTATCAACCTGCAGAAAGATGGAACCTTATCTCTCACTGATAACAAAAATCAACTCAAGGGACCAGCAGTTAGCATAATGGCTATGTCACTGGACTCCCATATAGTCGATCCTGGTTCGAGTCCCGGACCCAGTGGCTTAAACTCACACTGGGCGCGTGTGCATGCATGTCCAAGATCCCAAGGAGAGAATGGAGGAGAAGGGATTGTGGCATGTTCATCCCCCCGGGGAGTGATTTCTCGCTTTCTGTCTCTGTCTCTCTCTGTCTTTCTGGTGAGCACATGCACCCTATAGCAAAAACCTCTCCAAAAAAAAGAAGAAGAAAAAATCAACTCAAAATAAATCAAAGATCTAAACCGAGGAGCACAAACTATTAAATTACTAGAAGATAACACAAGGGAACTCTTGGAGACATTGGAGTAGGCAAAGACTTTTTAAATAAGACTCCCAAGCACAGGCAATAATCCTCACAATAGATAAATGGGACTACATCAGGCTTCTGCACAGCAAAAGAAACAATAAATAAACTGGCAACCCTCAGAATGTGAGAATATATTTGCATACTATGACTTAGATAAAGAAAACCAGAATAAACAGGAAATTCAAGCAGTTCACCACCAAAAAAAATTAATTAATTAAAAAATTAAAAAATCAATCCAATTTAAAAATGGGCCGGACAGACAACTCTCTAAAGAAGACATACAAACAGTCAAAATCATATGACAAAATGCCCAATGTCCCTTATCATACAGGAAATTCAAATAAAAACAACAATGAAATACTGCCAAATCCTAGTCAGAATGGCTAAGATTAAAAAAATTAAAAATGGTAAGCGCTGGTTAGGTTGTGATGAAAAAGGAACTCTCCTACACTGTTGGTGGGAATGTGAATTAGTACAGCCACTGTGGAGAACAATATGGAGGTTTCTCAAAGACTTAAAAATAGCTACAAACTACCATATGATCCAACAATTCCACTCCTAGTATCTACCCAAAGGATAGAAATACACTCACTCAGAAAAGTACTTGCACATTCACGTTTATTGCAGCATTACTCACAATTGCTAAGATATGGAACCAACCTAATGTCCACGAACAGATGAATGGATTGAATAAGTATGGCACATGCACACTATGGAATACTACTCAATCATAAAAGAAAACAAGAAGACCCTTTCATTCGATAGAAAGTGGATGAATATGGAAGATTTATTGCTAAGTGAAGCAAGACAGACTATGAAAGAGAGGCACTGTATTTCTCTACTCAATATACACTAAATGTCTGCACTCTATGGCAGAAACTGAAAGATTCAAAGATGTAAAAGCATGAAGAACAATTGTAGATACTAGATAAAGTGTGAGTGGAGGGTGAGAAATGGGGGAGGGTAAAAGAAGAGAAATAAGGGAAAAAGAAAGAAGCAAAATATTTAAGGGACACAAAAAATGAAAAATTATCTGTTAGCAATAATATGTATGATATATCTTTAACTGGACTAATATGCAGTATATTAATGCTGAGAAAATTCATTTTACACGCTGTAATGATATACAGTGATTGAATGTATAAAAATATTAAAAAGTAAAAAAAAACTTAAATTGCTAATTTATAATTATAATCCTCTGCTACGATTTTTTCACTTCTTTTTATTTTTATACTTTTTTATTTTTCAAAGTTAATTCATCCATCTTTTCTGAGAGAGACAGAGAGAGAGTGGGGAGAGAGGCCACCTGCAACGGCATCTCCATGCCACAATCAACCATCAGCCTTAGCCCAAATCAAGAGCATGAAGACATGAGTGCCCCCAGTATACAGGGAGATCTGTGAATGCAAACCTGGGACCCTCCCATTTGGGTCCATTATCATGAAGCATTACATTACTGCTGTACCACCACTTATTACTCTTCACCCCTTTCTACAGCTAACGTGATCTTATATTTTCAAAGTTAGCTATATTAGGTTTGTGCCATTTTTAATATTTTGTAAAACATGGTTAGATATATGTGAGCAAAAATAAAAATTCCTCTGTGAAAAAATTTTAAAGTGTAATCCATAAGCTACAAGGCAAAAGAGAGTAAAGAACACACAGAAGCCTAGACTGAATTTTACCGCAACTGAGAATTTAACATAAACATTTTCTCTTCTGGAGAGTGAAAGATAAAATAGAAATATATATTATATAAATTTCTCTGCAGCATTAAATACCAGGGAAGAAGGAACCCAGTATTATTGTGTGAATTTAAATACTTGCCCAAAGTTACATTAGTCAATCATTTTGGAGAGAGGGGTATTGAATTTTATTTTGAAAAAAAGAAAAAATTAGTAGTTGGATTCATAAATATTTCTTGTTTTTCTGAAAACCTATTTTTGGGACTTTACTTTTGTTTCAGATATTTTAAATACACCATTGACATTCATACCTAATATGGTCACTTCAGTTGTTTGTTTATATCCCAGCTCTATAAATACTGTTGATATCTATAACATAGAATTTCTACAGGAAAGAGCTTTAAAAGTTATGACATGAGAGCGAGAGGGAGGGAATCAGGGAGAAAAATAGAGAGATAAGATTTAAGGGACAGATATGGAGGATCGTCTATTGATGATAACAGGTATGGTAATATCTTTTATTGGACTGGTGTGTGGTGTATTTATACTCGGAAAATGTATTTTACAAGCTGTGGTGATGTACAGTGATTGAATGTATAAAATTTTTAAAAAACTAGAAAAAAATCAGGAGGAAAAATTTGTTAAGACATGGATCTCTTGCAGTTTCAAGGAATAGATAGGAATTTGAAAAAAAAAATAGTGGGATAGATTTGCTTACACTTATACTCTGAATCTTTCTGGTGATTCCTGAAAGATAAAGTAAGAACTCTAAACAGTCTTTTCTTTCTCACTGGACTTAGCAATGTAATTTTATTTGTTTTTAAGTGTCCTCCTATATTTGCTAGGCATTAGACTCACGTATGCTGAATTAAACTAAACAATGCAAAGCTGGGTCATTTCCAACTAGTTTCTAGAACTATTCAAATTACACTACAGAACTTCTATTTCTAAAAGCACAAAGTACACTTGGGAAAATTAATGTTCACTGCATTAAACAGTAGCAAAAGGGAAGGGTGAAATACTTTGAGAAGTTAAAAAGAACACAGTCATTTAAAGCTTCCTCTCTCCTAATCTCCAAAATTGGAATAACGAAAAAAAAAAATAAAGAGAAAGAAAACTTAAAAGGCATTCACTTATCTCTGTTGATCCAATTTATACCAAAACCATGCCTTACCTTGATAACATGGAGCTATTCTTTTACTCAGCTCTGTTCGTAAATTCGAGGGCATCCCATAGCATACACCAATGGGGAGTTTATTTTCATTCTTTATGTAAAAGATGTTTTTCCATCTGTGCCCACAAGTCTGAATAAAATAAAAGGAGACCGAATGATGTGAAAGTTAGAACGAGTATACCCCACTTCACAACTGATCAGTGGACAGATTTTAATACCTACCACGATAGATCCATTTTCTCCCGGCTGTCTGGAAAGTGTGACCCCCAACCACTGATTATCTCTCTCTTCCAAACAAGTCTTTCCACAGGGTTCTCCAACAGGGCTCCCTACAGCATGAACATAATTTTATCGTCAGTTATCTAAAAAAAAATGTTCTGCAAGAGCAGAGAAAATAAAAGTACCTGCTCGTATCCAGTATTTTCCTTCAACCACTTCTCCATCATTTTATGTTCGGAGCACAATGCAGGAATAAATGAGAGTTACTCTGCACCAACTGTTCTCTCACACGTTAATTGCTTTCTCATATTAAGCGATTTCTGTTCATACAAATGATCTCTGATGATATAGGAGATAGCTAACAAGATGGCCAGGAAGGAGGAAGTCCAATTAAAACCAACATAGGCTGGGATAGGCTGGGCAAATACAACCTCCTTGTCAAATGGGTGGGAAAGATTTTGTACTTTTCTTTTGACCATGTATCCAGCAACATAAGCAATGTTACTAGAGCAGTACTAAAACGGTTTCTTGTACTGGGACATCAAGAATAGAAAGACTACAATATGGTTCTCAGCAACTAAGGCACAGTTTTTACTGGAGCTGGAAGGTGACGATGGAGCATGTAGAAAGTGGAACATATAATTAGCATACTAATAGTGCACTGCATTTAAACCAAACTGCCCTGTGTTTTACATTTGGTAGAATGTGACTCATGTTTTCAACAAAGGCAAACAAACAAACAAAAACAAAACAAAACAAAACAAAACTTGGAAAACCAGATAATTCCAGTAGTGAGTAAAGGTCAGTAGGCACTTAGGCAAGTGCATCAATAGAAAGCGAAATAAATAAAATACTCATGTGCAATGTAGTGCTTCTAAACCATATAAGAAGAAGTGATCTTAACAGTGGTTTTTTTTAGCATTTTATAATTTTTAGCTTTATAGCTCAGATTCTATTAAAGTGATTTCAAAAAAGTGATTTTTGGGGAGAGAATAAGAAGCAGTCTTTTTTTTTTCTCTGTTTTCCCCTATTTTTAAAGGATTATTTTATTTAACTTTATTTATTTATTCTTTTTTTTTTCTTTTTTGGAGAGGTTTTTGCTATAGGGCGCATACGCTCACCAGAAAGACAGAGAGCGACAGAGAAATAGAAAGCGAGATATCACCCCCCCGGGGGGATGGCCACACCACAATCTCTTAATCTCCATTCTCTTCTTGGGATCTTGGGCATGCACACACACACGCCTGGCATGAGTTTAAGTCAACAGGTCTGGGACTCAAACTACAGTCAGCTACATGGGAGTTCAGCGGCATAGCCATTTTGCTAACTGCTGGTCCCTATTTATTCTTATTTTAATGTGACCAGAGAGGAGCCAAGTGAGAGAGAGAGAAAGTGTGAAAGCAAGCCACCAGGTCTGGGACTCAAACCACAGTCAGCCATGTGAGAGTTCAGTACCCTTAACTACCACGCCACCTTCCAGCCCTAAGATGCAGTCTTGCCAGATTTTTTTCTGCTATTTTTATTTTTATCTTCTTCAACTGCCACATTACAATTTTATTCCATCTGTGCCTAATTCTAATGGCAGGGGAAATTATTAGCATCAATTTGATTGGTTAAGGATGTGGAACTTGAGTTTAACTTTGAACAACGGTCAACAGGTACTAAGTTTTTATAGACTAATGTTGATCATTCTCTATATCATTAGGCACTTGGCCTTTGCCTATAATCTGATCCTTAGATAAATCTCCCTAGGAAAACTCAGAATCCCTATACAGGTAAGGCTAATATTTTGAAAGAGAGATTATGTGCACTAAATTTCGTGGCTATCACAGGAAATTTATTGATTTATTCCTAGATTTTGTTTATGGATATAGAAAGATATTGTATATATATTTGTATGTCTTCTAAAATGTCAGGAAAACCAAAACCCTTAAACACAATTGAACTGAAAAGAATTTTTTAGACCCTCCTCTGGAGATTCTGATTCAGGAGGTCCAGGTGAGGCCCTGACTACCCTAGATGCCTCATATGTTCAGAAACTGTTACAATAGAAAGTGGACAATGTTTTTCTCAGCAGGTTTCTCTAGAATAATGACAACTTCCATTAATTGGTAGTGGCTTCCTGGAGGGCAAGAATGAAAGGAGGAAAATGAAAGACAGATCTGGAAAAAGAATGCTGGAGTTGATTAGCAATGCCTGCCATAGAAGTGGGGAGGCAGTATTGCTGTAGCCCCAACTTCAATAACAGAGAGTCCAGATGAACATAAAAAGATTTCTGTGTTAAAATGAAGAAAGGGAGGAAGGGTAAGAAGAGGAAGTGAGAGAGGAAAAGAGGGAGAAAAAAAGACAACTGTATTATATGTGTGGTGTAAGGGCTATGGAGTTATTACTGTGGCTACCTGATGCCAAACCAACACAACTAAAGTGAAAAAGAATGACAAATGGGAAATTTTAATTTTCACTGTAAAGTAATTTTCAGTTGGTCTTTTCACTAAAATCAAGTTTTTTTAGCTAATATCTAAAATAGGTAACGCTAAATTCATTCGATCTGCAGTAGACATTCTTGTTCCTTATAATAAACATTCCTGTTACTTATAATATCTATGAAAATCTTTTCTGAAAATGCTTGTCCTTTTTATTATCTCTTTATTTTATTATTATTATTATCATCGTTATTATAATTTAAATTTGACCAAAGAGACAGAGAGAGCAAGAGAGTGGGAAAGTGAGAAAGCTGTCAGGCCTAGGACTCAAAATCTGTCATGTGGGGGTCCAGCACATTAAACACCACACCACCTGCCAGCCCCAACACTGAAGTCTTTTTAAAAGTATGTCACCAACAGTTAGTTAACTAAGACAATTGAGCAAAGGAGGAAAATTAAAGACAAGAGAAGATGACTATCACAATAACATATTATCTCTGTTAAAATATACAACATTTGGGACCAGCAGATGGTGTACATCACTGGACTCCCATATAACCAACCATGGTTCAAGTCCCAGATCCAGCAGCTTGAAATCATGCTTGATGTGTGTGCATGCGTGCCCATTTTGAGAAGAGAATAGAAGAAAAGGCATTGTGGCATGGCCATTTCCCTTGGAGGGTGATCTTTTTGCTTTCTGTATCTCTGTCTCTCTGACAAGCACATACACCCTATAGCAAGAATCTTTCTTAAAAAAATGCTGTGACTCTTCCACAGGAGGCCTACACACCACTGCTTGTGCCGCCGCCATGTCTCTAGAGATCCCTGAGAAGTTCGAGCACATTTTGTGAGTACTCAATACCAACATCGACGGGCGGCGGAAAATAGCCTTTGCCATCACTGCCATTAACGGTGTGGGCGAAGAAATGCTCATGTGGTGTTGAGGAGAGCAGACATGGACCTCGCCGAGAGGGCAGGAGAGCTCGCTGAGGAGGAGGTGGAACGTGTGATCACTGTCATGCAGAATCCACGCCAGTACAAGATCCCAGACTGGTTCTTGAACAGGTAGAAAGATGTAAAAGACAGAAAATACAGCCAGGTCCTGGACAACGATCTGGACAACAAGCCGCGTGAAGACCTGGAGAGACTGAAGAAGACACGGGCCCATAGAGGGCTGCGCTACTTCTGGGGCCTTCGGGTTGAGGCCAGCACACTAAGACAACTGGCCGTCGTGGCCGTACCATGGTGTGTCCAAGAAGAAGTAAGTCTGTAGGTCTTGTCTATTAATAAATAGTTTATATACCAAAAAAAAAAAATCGTATTTCTGAATACTGGATGCAACCTTAATAAAAGTAAGTGTCCATGAAACATGTAACAACATTTTATGGACACATTTACTCTTCTATAGATAGCCACCCAAAAGTTTAAAGATGATAAATGTAGTTCAGAACACAAAGTGCCATGTAACTTGAAAATAGCAAAAAAAGTTCTTAGGTGCAAACAACAGTGCATCGTTATTGCCTGTCTTGCAGTTGAAAGCTGAGGTCTATTTTATAAATGATGACTAGAGAAACTTAGGATATTCAGCTGTTTTTTGTTTAATATTCTCTGTTGCCTCCGCCCCATGTTAGTTTTAGCTCCCTCGGGTGACATCAAGATGCCAACACTGCTCAGTCTCACACTTTAGTTCACACACATCACAAGCCACTAACTTTCCCACTTATGAACATCACTTCCCACCAACATCTTTCTCTCTGTGCCTGAGTATCTCTCATATCTCTGGGAGATGAGCCATTGTATCCTACAGCTATTTTAGGATGTGGTCTCACCAAAGGTCTGGGACTTTATTTCCACAGGGGCTCATGCCCCCTCTCACTTTTATTCTTATTCTAGGTTAAAAATATTCTTAGAAACAGGAGAAAAAATAGCTCTCCAGAAGCCACAAAGAATATGTGTTCACCTAAGAATAAAGGTCGCAAGCACTTTCCCAGGAAAGCTTTCCCAGTTGTGTGGCCAATTCATCCTTGAGCAGAAGAGATTTAAGACAGAAAAACACACGAGTGTGTAAAGAGTGGGGTGAGAGGGTGTGTGAGGAAGAGGTGGAAGGAGTAAATGCCTCTTGACATAATCTCGCATCTGTTTGTTATGATATAGTTACAAATCATAGATGCTTTCTAATACAGCTTTCTAATACATAGATAAGATTTCTGATGGATGGTGATTAATTTTCAGACATATACTATAATTTTCTTCTTATTTAATCCAATTTTGGATATCAGAGATGACTCTTAGCATCAGTAATTAAGAGTCTATAGACACACAAGAAGTGACCACTCAGAGGAAACTGTGATGAAATATCCTGTTGGATGAAGTATTTTTATTTTTGTTTGGGTTAACTACATTTATTTATTTATAATTACCCTAGCCTACTTCCAGGGTTTAGGAAATAGAGATTTCATTCATCTTGGCCAGGGCTGTATCTTGCTCATCATCACCTCACCCCAAAACACAGTCCTGAAATGTATGTTGATGATGGAAGGGTCAATAAATAAAAAGTACTTCAAAGCTTCAACTGGAGTTTGACTAAGTGTCCTGTATTTGAGGTACTGATCTTAGTTTGAAATGTATATACAAGAGATGAATACAAAAGCAGAAAGTAAATTCATGAAAATAGCCAAGTTATAAAA